CTCACGTCCCCATTTGTTTGCAATCAAGTGGGGTGACCTGATTGAGACCTGAGGAGGGCTTAGTCGAGGACGCTGAGTACAGCACGTCTACAGGGCATGGCTGGACTGAGAAGCAGGGCTACACGACTCGTTACAATGGCTATTGGGACTACCGAAGGAGTGCCTTTGTTTGTGATTAGACGGTCGGGTTGCAGTGCTCCCAAAAGTGCCCACCTGCCCTGATGGAACAGACAGTTTCATTTTTTTTTCAACCGTTTTAGAACTCAGAAGTGCATTGTTTAGGAGGAGGGAGCACTCTCCTCTCTTTGGCAAGGAAAGCATTTGCGAAATTTCCAGTTCAGTTCACGCCCAGTTTTAAGGGAAAAATCAAAACGCCTGACATCAAATATTCCATCATAGGCATTAAGTTAACTTTTACTTCGCCCAGACATCCAGCACCCGTCAAACGAAGTTCGGTTTGTGTGGTGCACTGAGGGTTCAGTCGACCCCCAATGTTGGCGGCACTTATTGAACACGAGGGACAAATCGGGGGTGTGGCTTCCCCTTGAATACATTTCTACCCCATTGTACTGCAAGCTGAGAAAACTTCTCAAAAAAACCACTGAAGGTGATCAGTCTGGAGAGGGTCCAATTCACATAAGTTCACAAGACTTGCTGGTGAAACTGGTCCGTCCAAATCTTCTCCCTTAAACTCCGTTCTTCGGTTTCGCCTTCTATTCTGGTGCCCACACGGAGGAATTACGTGATCACAAGCAAAAGTGAGGGCAGATGGAGGGCAAAGGTGGCGAGGAGATGTAAGAGAGTAGGAGCAGGCATGGTAGCCTACTTGAGCACCTAGTGGTTCCGATTAGTAGTGACACCCGCCAGTTAAAGAGATTACCCAACACTTATGGCCACTAAGCCCAAAGAATGAAGTTTACATGCAACCTTTCAGACATGACCGAATAAAAAACGAAGGATCTGTCATTTCAAAAAAATCCGTGGGACACCAAAGCAACTGACAAACCAAACGTGTACAAAGGGAAACGGAGTGGGAAAAATTGAGCAAAGATCTTTTTGATGGCTCACTAAATTGCATTTTGCGAAATTGTTAAGGAATCAATTCCAATGATTGAGAAAAAAACAAGCACTCAAAAACCAGATAAAGGAATTGCACATCTTGCAGCTGTGGTTGGGACTAAAAGGCAAATATTAACTTTTGCCTTGAGGTGCAATAAGGCATGAGATCAATGACAACTGGAGGAGAGAGAGGAACTTCTTTCTCCCATTGGCTAAATTTTGAGGTTAATAACGTGTTGAGGCATCATCAAAGAAGTTTAAAAAATGTTTGTGGCAAATAGACTCTCAGTACTGCAAAGGTTATCTACCCGAAACAAATCCGGTAGCCCTTTCGAAACACCCGGACCCACGCACATCTCCTGCAACCACAATGTAAACTGCAGTATTTGAGACCACCAGACCCAGAAAAAGACCCCTCAAATTCTGGTCTGAAATTTCGGCTCCCTCAAGCGCAAGATAACTGCGAAACTTGTACCGGTAACGCATCGTCAAACATGAAGGAAAATAAACAACATTTGAAGTCGTTCCAACTCACCTCTATTTCTTCTCATTCATCAGCCTTCAAACCTCTATAATCACGATATTGAAGGCGTCTTAGCAACAACTTAAAGCTGGCGATAAAGCATAAATGACAGAAATACCCACCCCGAGTTCGACCTGCATCTTGCATTTGGATTTTGAGGAGTTCCATGGGAGTTGTGACGATAATTTGGCACATACCGGCACCGCC